TGTGTGTGTGTGTGTGTGTGTGTGTGTGTGTGTGTGTGTGTGTGTGCGTGTGTGTGTGTGAAAGAAGAAGTGCACTTTGACAGCAAGCGCTGTTCAAATTAAAATTACCTGATTACATTAATTTGAAATCAGGCAATATTCTCTTATTTTAGAATTAGATAAACATAATGTTTATGTTTTATTTAACTACAATGACTGGATTTTACTCCAAACATATTTATTTTAAATTTAATTCAATTGTTGCCTCAAAATTAAAAACACAATTATATTGAGTATATTTTACATAATATATTAATTAAAAAGAACATAGCCACAGAATGATTTCTTTGGTCTAGCATAGGCATATCTCTAGAACAACTGTTAAGAGGAGACTGTGTGAATCGGGCCTTCATGGTAAAATAGCTGCTAGGAAACCACTGCTAAGGACGGGCAACAAGCAGGATGTGTAAGGGCTATTTGACCAAGAACGAGATGACCTGGCCTCCACAGTCAAAAGACCTGAACTCAACCCAGATGGTTTGGGGTGAACTGGACCGCAGAGTGAAGGCAAAAGGGCCAACAAGTGTGAAGCATCTCTGGGAACTCCTTCAAGACTGTGCGAAGACCATTTCAGGTGACTACTTCTAAAGATATCATATTTAAGAAATCATGCATTGTTTTAGCACAATATATATTTGAAAAAACACGAACAATAATTTAGCTGTTTTACTTCTTGTAACACCTGTAAAATCATCAAGTTCATGACAGCAGTTGTTCAGAAAAGGCAAAGAAAAGCTGTTCCACTGCCTGTACTACATTTATTATCCACTAGAGGGCAGGATACACATTTCATACCAAACACAACAGGTTCATAAGGAAAGTATTCATCACAACGACTAAATAGAGGTCACAGAAACTTGTAGAGCAAATGAGATAGAAATGGTGATAATAAATTAATTATACTGTCAAGTTTGCAGTTTTGTGTCAACATTTGCCAAAACTCAGATCTCATCTGGGCGGTTATTTCCTGCTCAGAACTGTCACTATCATCTTCTGTTTCCACYTCAGCTAATCCCTCCAATGGCTTCTTAACTGAAAAGGGCCACAGAGGTCTTTCTTCTGAGTGTAGGTGGAGGGACAGTTTTTTCACTTGTCACCCTGTACCTAAGAATATCTATGAACAAAAGATCTTTAGTTTAGAATCAGAGTTGCCATTGATGAAAACATAAAATTAAAAAACTGTGTCATCCTGTGTCCTGAAAGTGAAATTACATTATTATTTCTCACAAAAAGTATAGCTTTATTGAGTATACACCCCTGAGTTAGCTAAGAAAAAAAATAAGAATGCAATACAGTAATTATGTGTATGCACCAGAGGGTATACTGTGTTTTTCTACTGTGAGCAGTTGTCCTTTCTCGACCGCATATGAACACTTCTGTTGAAGACATAAAGTTATGATCATACTGAAATTAAAGAGGTGATGAATAAATTACATTCCCCAGTACCTAAGTTTGCCAGTCCCCCTATGCTCTCCTGTACCTACAGTGGTTTGCAAAAGTATTCATACCCCTTGAACTTTTCCATATTTTGTCACATTACAACCACAAACATAAATATATTTCACTGGAAT